GATGTCTTCCAAGGGCCCTCTCCTAGCAGGATCTGGGCAGCGCCCACGCCTCTGAAGTCAGACACAGCAGAGGGGACCTCATCTGTGGCTAAGGCCTTGCCCAGGCCCAGGGCCTGCAGACCCCCACCGAAGCCAGGGCCAAGGTGGTTTGGGTCTCAAACACACGGTGGTTAAAAAAAAAAAAAAAACAGGGCTGGTGTTTGCTTTCCAGGTATCGTCTCCTGGGCAACCCTGGCAGACAGGGTTGTCAGATCTAGCAGGTGCTGCACATCCATGGTGCTCAGCTCAGCTTGCCTGTCAGATAAACAGCAAGCGAGGTGGTCTTTAGAGTAAGTGTTGCCCAAGCAAGATTAGGGTGATGCTTAGACCCAAGCATTGGGCGATTCAGTTTCCAGTGGGACAAGCCATCCTTCAAGCGAAGTGGCCGCACGGTGATCTGGGGGCCCGGTCTCCATCAGAGCCTCAACCCTGGGCTGGGAGGAATGGGAGCAGGTGCCCTGATTCAAGCTCCATGAGCCGGCAGGAATCTCTTGACCTTCGTCTTTGCTCATCTCTGAGTATGCTGGGGGCTTTAGAACCCTCTGAAAATGTGAGGGGAGCTACGGGTTCCTCACACTCAGTGTGACCAGGGACTCAGATCAAAGTCAGAGGATTGATTGACCTCCAGTGACCTTCAAGTGTGACGTGCTGATGACGTGGGAAGACCCGTCTTGGAGAGGTCATGGCCACTGCATCCTGGAAAAACCTTCCTGCTGCGGGTGCTGTATTGGGAGAGCATGTATACTTAAAAAATAAAAAAGATGTTTTTAAATCTATTTAACTGGAAAGTCAGATTTTTCAAAGAAAAGGAGAGGCGGAGATCTTTGATCTTCTATCTGCTGGTTCACTCCCCAAGTGGACATAACAGCTGGAGCTGAGCTGATCTGAAGCCAAGAGCCAGGAGCTGCTTTCCAAGACCACAAGCAGGGAGCTAGATGGGAAATGGAGCAACCAGGACATGAACTGGCATCCATATGGGATCCTAGTGTGTGCAAGGTGAGGACTTAGGCACTGAGCCATCATGCTGGGCCCAGTGGATGACTTTTATTTAAACCCTTCCCTCTCTGCCTAGTTCTGAAGAGGAACCTCACATGCAGAGGTCTTTGTCGGTAGACGTTATGGTTTAAAAACGTGTCTAAATCAAGGGCCATGGCCTCAACCTTCTTTTCTTTCTTTCTTTTTTTTTTTTAAAAGATTTATTTATCTTTATTGGAAAGGCAGATATACAGAGAGGAGGAGAGATAAAGAGGAAGATCTTTCATCCGATGGTTCACTCCCCAATTGGCCACAACAGCTGGAGCTGAGCCTATCCAAAGCCAGGAGCCCAGAGCCTTTTCTGGGTCTCCCACACAGGTGCAGGGTCCCAAGACTTTCTGGGCTATCCTCTACTGCCTTCCCAGGCTACAAGCAGGGAGTTGGATAGGAAGTGGGGTCTCCAGGATTAGAACCGGTTCCCATATGGGATTTAGCCGCGAGGCTATCGCATCATGCCCGGCTTCAGCCTTCTTAATGTGATGAGCTGACAACTGTTCCAAACTACATCCCTTTAGGTTGTGCGTTCCAAGATGTGTGGTTTTCTCATCCCCGAGGCTTGTTAGGGCTCCCTCTTGTGTCCACACATTGTAACAGTCATTCCAGGTTTGGTCCTTAGAATTCCCTTCTGACCTGTTGAGATCCGCCATCCTGTTCAGGATCCCATACAGAGGAAGCTTCCAGGGACTCGCCTAAAGATTGAATTAAAGGATACGTTCATTCTGGTGCAAAGCAGTTTTGAGATCCATGCACAGACTTTTCATAATATGCATTTTCCATGAATTTTTGAAAATTTCTTGTATGCGTGGATTTCAAAATTTCTGCTCCAAAACAAACTTATTTTTTTAATTCTTCTCCCACAAACTTTTTTTTAAATTGTATTTTTATTTGAAAGTCAGATATACAGAGAGAAGGAGAGACAGAGAAGAAGATCTTCCGTCTGTTAATTCACTCCCCAAGCAGCTGCAATGGCCAGAGCTGAGCTGATCCAAAGCCAGGAGCCAGGCGCTTCTTTGAGGTCTCCCACATGGGTACAGGGTCCCAAGACCTTGCGCCGTCCTTGACTGCCCTCCCAGGCCACAAGCAGGGAGTTGGATGGGAAGTGGGGCTGCCGGGATTAGAACTGGTGACCACATGGGATCCTGGCACGAGTAAAGCGCGCACTTTAGCCTTTAGGCTACCACACTGGGCCCTCCCAAAAACTTTTGAAGCTTTTGAGTCCATGCTCCATTGCCCAAGCCACAGCGCCACAGCCTGGATGAGTTACAAAGCAGGAAGACTGACTGTGGCTCCTGGCTCGGCGGTCACAGGCTGAAGGCTGCATATGGTGGTGCCCAGGCTGCTGGCGAGCCGGGGGCATCAGTCGACAGGAGATGAGGAACGTGTCTGTCTTCCATCTCTCTCCTTAGAAAGCCACCAGGATTGAGTGATGGGGTCCCACCCTGATGACTTCATGTAGTCCCGATCTCCTCCCGAGGGCTCATCTCTAAACCCCACCATCAGGTTATGCTTTCATCCACATGGGACCTCACAATGGGGAGTGAATTTCAGCACATGGCCTCTTGGGGGATGCGCACACCATGTCCGAAGCATCGCCTGGGGACCCAGCCTAGGGTTATAAGGAGCCTAACCCCTGGAGCATGCTGCCCAGCATGGACAGGGCAAGAGAACCAAGCAGCAGTGTGACTGGCTGTGAGGACAGCAGCAGGTGACAAGTGCTGAGAGGACGAATTAGAAGCCGAATGAGGGACATGACGGGGGGTTCCCATTGAAGGCTCCAGAGGCTCAGGGGGAGTTCAAGAAAGTGGGGGATAACCGAAGGCCTAAACAGGTGGAGGGAAGCAGGTGAGAAGTTCAGGTTCCAAGGTAGCCTGTACCTCGGAAGTCCCTGAACATGCATAGGTGTGAAAGTGCCCAGGGGCCTATGTCTGCATAGCAGAAAAAGCCACCACCAGCCTTTCTGACTTCAAATAAATAAAGAAATATTTAAAAAGAAGGCTCAAAAAGAGGTGTGACCCAAGAAAGAACCAAGAATTTCTAAATAATTATAAATCCAACATGTCACGTATGATTTGAAGTCAGTTAAAAATCTCAAAGTCTTGGTCAGAATAATAACAAAAATAATTTTGTGAATGGCAAACAAAAATTGCTTTCCTGGGGCGGGTATGATGGTTCAATGGTTAAATCCTCACCTTGCAAATGCCAGGATCCCATATGGATGCTGCTTTGTGTCCAGGCTGCTCCACTTCCAATCCAGCTCTCCCTTTGTGGCCTGGGAAAGCAGAGGAGGATAGCCCAAGTCTTTAGACACCTGTACCCACGTGGAAAACCCGGAAGAAGTGCCCGGCTTCAGATCAGCTCAACTCTGGCCATTGTAGCCACTTGGGGAGTGAATCAGCAGATGGAAGCTCTTCTGTCTCTCCATCTCTGTATATCTGATCTGCCTTTCCAATAAAATAAATATATCAAATAAACAAACAAATTGCTCTCCCATTCTCTGGCTCACTCTCTGAAGGCCTAGAACACTCTGGACTGACTCAAGCTAAAGCTAGGAGCCCAGAACAACCCAGGACTGTCACATGTGTGGGAGCCATCAGGCACATTAACCGGAAGCCACAACTGGACTCCAACCAGGGACTCCTCCGGTGTGAGCTTGGGCCACCTGCTGATAATTTTCCCAAGCCATTAGCAGAAAGTGGAGCCGCTGGAATACAAACCTGTGCCTAAATGGGATGCCAGTGTTACAAGGTCATCCCCAGGCTGCCCTCATCTGAACTTAACTGCAAAGACTGTATTTCCAAATAGGCTCCCCACACTGAGGTTCCAGGTGGACATGACTGTGTGGGGAATATCATTCAGTCCAGTGCACAAAGGCCGCAGGCCAGTTTCTGTCCTAGCAGCTCTGACGTTTTGTGTTTCTCAGGTGCTCACGTGAAAGACACGGTGCGGCCAAAGCAGCCAACTTCCAGGGAAGAGCATCTTCTAAGCCTTCCGCACCCCACTTTCCCTCGCTGTGCTTTGCCTCTTGCATCTCAGAGCTATGACTGAGTTTCTTTCCCTGCCTTTCTTCCTACTTCTCCCTCCTGCTGTTCTTTCTCTGCTTCCTCCTCCTCTTCCTCCTACTCCTCCAGAACACAGAACTGTAGCTTTTCTTTTACTTCAGAAGAGCATTTATTTTGATTCATGTTTACAAAATTATAAGGCACGCTCCTATTCAAAACAAGGAATCAGCCTGCAGCTTGGACTCCAGCATCCTGCCAAGGGGGACACTGGCAGGTAACGGGGATAGAGCAAATCATTTGGACTCCTGTGCCCTCGTGGGAGGTCTGGATTGTCCTCTGTGCTTCTGGCCTCAGCCCTGGCTCAGTCGGCTGGAGGAGTAGACCAGTAGATGTTTACTCAATCTTCTTTGGTGTCTACGTGTCTCTGGCTGCCATCCGTGCTTGTCCTCTGGCAGGTGCCATGGGACAAATCGGGTCCCTTCAGTCCTTTCCCCAGACTGGGCCCAGCTCTGGCTGCCGAGGTCCCTGAAGCTTGTCTGGAATTTCTTGGTAAGCTTTATATATTTCCAGCTATTTAATTTTGAAAGCCTGCTCATGGAAGATTTTCTATTTTTCTCCTCTTTGTTGGGGGAAAAAAAAAACAAAAACAAACAAGACAAAACCAGTTTCCAAATAGTGTCAGGAGTTGTTTTCTACAGATGTTTGACCCTTGATGGATTATTTTTCCAAGAATCTATTGGATTCATTAGGGAAAAGTCCCCAGCTGCTGCCCAACTTCCTCCTGATCCTGGGATGGGCTCACTTTCCTGGAACCTCTTGGCACAACAGGGTCAGGTTTGGTGCCAGAAGCTGTTCCCTTAGTTCCTGGTATACCAGTTCTCCAGGGCTTGGGTTGTTTGGGCCAGAGCACAAGAAACCAGGAGATCTTCCAAGGCTGTCCTGAGACTTCCCTAGGTCATAGGAAAAGGAAGGAAGAGTGGGTGTCAGTACTTCAGAGTACTAGAACGGAGCCTAGGCCAGGACCTGGCAAGTCTCTAAAGCTCCATCATAGGCCCGGCACAATGGCTCAGTGGCCAAATCCTCACCTTGAACATGCCGATATGCCCTATGAGTGCTGGTTCATGACTCAGCTGTTCTACTTCCCATCCTGCTCCCTGCTTGTGGCCTGGCAAAGCAGTCGAGGATGGCCCAAAGCCTTGGGACCCTGCACCTGCATGAGAGACCCGGAAGAAGCCCCTGGCTTTTAACTTTGGATCGGCTCAGCTCTGGCCGTTGTAGCCATTTGGGGAGTGAATGTGTACATGAAAGATCATTCTTTCCATCTCTCCTCTCTGGAAATATGATCTGCCTTTCCAGTAAAAATAAATCTTAAAAAAAAAAAAAAGAAACAAACAAAAACTCTGTTTTCCCACCAGCTATTGAGTCAAAGGTATGTCCAGGTGGGCCCTGGACTCTGTAGTTAGGTTGCCATGATCAAGTCCTGCATCTCACACGAGGAGGCCTGGGTTTGAGTCACGGCTCTGCTCCCAACTCCAACCTAACAGAGGGAAGACAGTCATTGGGCTCAAGCGGCTGGTTCTTTGACATCTCCTTAGTTCCCAGCTTCTACTGTGTCCGAGTCAAGCTCAGTTTGCAGGTGGTTCCTTTGCCTTAGTTTAAGAGTAAGATGGCCAAAGGGGGAAGCTGTGGGCTGCACACATTTCAGCAGACCCATTGGCATGTGAGGTCTGGGTTGGTTGGCAATGCCCCAGGTGGCAGAGACTTGAGACCAATTCTCCACCAACTGGGTCCCTGGGGTGGGGCCATTCGCTGCAGTAGTTTGTTCTGACTCCTCACGGGCACCTTCCTGCCCCTGTCCCCTGCACTGCTCTGGCAGGGGCGTGGCCAGTTGCTGTGGCCCTCTTTCCTGCACCCAGCAGGAGCCAACATGTCTGAATCAGGAGGAAGAGGCCCATAGAGCCCCACTCCTTGCCCCAGATGGAGGCTGGTCACCTCCTCCCGTGGAAATGGCTGACTGCAGGGGGTACCCCAGGAGGCTGGAGCCCCAACGCCCGGGGTCTTGCAGTAGTGGTAGTAGGGATGCCAAACACCTCATGTGACCTAGCAGACCTCTTCCCTCCCCCTCTGCAGTTGCCTCTGTTCTGAGCATGCTGGGAGGTTTGGCCACCAGGAGCTCTGGCAATGACTGAGACTCCAATCCCTTCCTCTCTCTGCCGCTGCTTGCTAGGCAGCATGTGAGCCTTTCAAATTCTCACGCAACCCTAGAAAGAGCAAGGGACTTTCCAGCCAAGGTCATCTTTAACTTTCCCAACAGGCTCGCAGAATGGGGCTAGGACCAATCGCGGAATGTTTCACAGTAACCAAGTGCTGTGACACGCGTTGCACAAACCAAGTCCAGGGCAGTTAGGTCATGGCCTTCACATAGACTCTTGCGTCTTGCTCTCTGAGGCTGGAGGCAGGAACAGATGGCACGATGGATGGGCAGGCCTGGCAGCCATTCCTGTCACTGAAATTCTTCCTACAGTACCTGTTCAAGTTCAGATTCTATGCCAAGGGCAGGGGATACACAGCTTGTGAGGGGCTGGTTCCCTGCTCGTGCTGGTTCAGAGGGAGCGTTGCTAGGCTGGCAAGTGCTGAAGGAGCCGTCCTTGTCCCTGTTAGCTATCTACTCATCAGCTGCATCCCAGCTCCAGAGGACTTTGTTTTTTAAGATTTGTTTATTTTTATTGGAAAGGCAGATTTACAGAGAGAAGGAAAGACAGAAAAATCTTCCACTTTCTGTTTCACTCTCCAAATGGCTACAACAGCCAGAGATGAGCTGATCCAAAGCCAGGAGCTTCCTCCGGGTGTTCCATATGGGTGCAGACTACCAAGGCTTTGGGCCATCCTCCACTGCCTTCCCAGGCCACAGAGGGAGCGGGATGGGAAGTGGAGCAGCCAGGACATGAACCAGCACTCACACGGGATACCGGCGTTTGCTAGAGGGAGGATCAGCCAACTTAGTCCTCATGCTGAGTCCTCCAGAGCTTTGTAATCCATGTAAGAGGGTATGTCTGTTTGCTTGCTTGCTTGAGCAGCGGAAGTCTGAGATAGAGAGGGAAGGACCTCCCACCTACTGGTTTATTCTCTAAACACAATAGCCAAGGCCAAGTCAGGCCAAAGCCAAGAAGCAGGAATTAGAGAACTTGATTCAGGTCTATCTATCACAGGTCAGGAACCCAACCAATCCTATGAGCAGGACTTAGGAGAATAGCCAGGATTCAAGCCCAGACAATTCAATGCAGGATAATATGGGATGTGGGTGTCCTAACCAATCTCATCTTAGCTGCTGGGCCAAACACCTGTGTGAGGACAACTGTTTATCAATGTACAAATCTAACAACACAAGTAGGTCTTTGTGTATGTGTGTATATATGTGTGTGTGTTAAAATATATATTTGTATATATAATGTTAAATATATAACGTTAAATACATATAAACATAAATATGCACACACATATATATATACACACTTGGCGTTAAAGAGGAGTGCTTACACTTGAAGTGGCTGAGACCCATTGGGCTAATCATCTCAGAGATGTCAGAGTTTGACTCCCCATCTTTGGGTGATGTGACCATGGGGGCTGTGGAGCACACTGGTGTTCACGTGGTCAGATATGCACACACGCTTGTGTGGAGCACATGGAAGAGATGGGGGGGATCCCCGGCCCTGCCCTCCTTGAGGCAAAAGCTGGGCCTGCAGAGGCATAAAAGGCAGCTCTGATTGGTTGCTTAGGCTACTTGACAGGTTGCAGGTTCAAGCCCTAGAGCCCTGGCTCAGACACGGATTGTCAAAGTGGCAGAACCAATACCAGGTGGAGAAAGGGCAGTCCCTGTGTGTGTGCCCCAGCTGTGATGGGAAGAGGTAGAGCATGGTGGGGTCTCAGCCAAAGCCATGAGTGCAGTGACTTTCTCTGGGAAAGAGGGTACCCATCAGGGGCAGGTGCTTGAGTACCATGGTTAAAGATGCTTGCACCTCTCATAAGAGCATGCCTAAGTTTGATTCCCCTCCTGGTCTCCTGATTCCAGCTTCTGACCTCAGGGATAGTGGAGACAGCCCAGGATCACTTCCACACGGCAGAGTGACCTGTGAGGGAAATGGCCGCCCAGGGTATATAACCCTGGGCTTTGATATATCTTAGGTGTGGAGGATGAGGGGTGATACAACTCAGTTTGAGCATGCTTGTGGCCATGACATGTCACCACAGCCTCAAGCAGACTCAGCGTTCCAAACATCAATGGGAGTGTCTGCTTGACCCCCGGCAAAGAGAGTATTGAGGCGAGGGACTCCTTCTTTTGTTGTCTGTGGCCACAAGGAGGCCGGAAGGAGAGAGCGCATTGGGACTCGGTCTGCTGCTTCGGTACCAGTGTTACCAGGTACAAGCTTCTTCGTGCCCTGATGCACTCAGCTCCTCCAGGAGTGGCTTCTGCTTGGCCCAACAGGCTCAGCTCTGGTTGTCGCAGCCACTGCGGTGACTTGGGGAGTGAGCCGGCGGACAGAAGATCTTTGTCTCTCCTTCTCTTTGGAAATCTGCCTCTTTGGAAATAATAAGAAGAAGCCAGCACTCAAACCCAGACCCTCCAACCCTGGATCTACGCTGTATGATGCTGCTCAGATGTGAGTCTTCTTTTGCTGGAACATCCCACGCCAGACCACATCAGCTCACACTGTGTTCTCAGTCACAGCAGGTAAGAGGTTAGTGACTTTGAGTTAGTTTGATAAACATTGTCCCCTTTGGGGCCCCGCACGGACAGACTGTTTCACAGGATTTTCCGGCCCCAGGTTTTCCTGCAGGACAGGAGTGCCTGCTGAGAGTCTTCAGGTTTTCTTAGGTCAGACCAGGAACAGCCTGCAGCCCCACGTGCTTCCGGTCTCCCCTCAGCTGCCAAAGAACTTGGAGCCAAAGTCTGCAGCGATCTGAGTAATGAACAGCCGCCCAGGACCTGGGGAAGTTGCTCCCTCTTCTGTAGCAGCTATCGCCAAGCGGGCTCCCGGCTGCCCCCTCCGCCTCAGCTGCTCCAGGAGCAAAGGCCAGATTAACACGAATAATAAAAACCAACACTGCCCTTTGGGAAGTAACCCACAGAAGCACGTTCAACTTTCGGATTCTTCTCATTTAGCAACACAAGCTAACATCCCTCTGGTCTGCATGACACGGACAGGTGAACTCATTTCCTATCAACAGTTTGAAGTTCCAGTTAAACTTCATTCCTTCCTCAGATATTTCTTGCACACCTACTATGTGCCAGACACTCTTCTAGGAGCTTGGGGGAGGTCGGCAAAGAAGATAGACCAAGATCTCCCAGACAGGTGTTAGCAACAGGTGCAGTAAGCGCATGAGATGTTGTGTGAAAAGTGGGCGGGATGAGAAAGAATTCCGGCAAGTCATCAGAAAGGAGGGGACAGGGGAGCGGGGAGCAGGCAGCAGCGGCAGTGGATGGGTGGGCTCGGAATGTTGCAATCAAGTCTAGGGTTTATTAAGGAGTCCTTATTAACCAAGCCTGGTGATAACAGGGCCCACTAAGAAATAGCAAATCACAAGTTTACATAACAATCCAGTCAATCGTAACCCCAAGAGGAACAAATGGTCATTACTCTGAAGTCTAAATTGAAGACCTGTATGTCCAGCTTCCCCAGCAATATAAGTTATCCTAAGAGACATACAGTGAACAGCCTGGCCACACTTCCAAAGCTGCAGACATTCACCTTTCCCTGGCTTCTCATTCCATCAGTGCTAGACCTCACCTCTCCTGGAACTCTCTCGAAAGCACACACACATTAGAAATACAAAGCATCTTAGCATTGCTATCGTCACAGTCCCGCCCAAGCAGTGAACAGAGGGTGAGGAATACAGACACACGGGGGCCATGCTCAGGGGCTACCTGTCCTCAGAGGTGCTGGGGAGGCAGAGTCGGAGCGCCCAAGCACACAACCAAGAGAGCCAGCCCCTCCCTATCATGGGCCTTAATGGGGCTGGCGAGGGGAGTGGTTACACAACAACGCAATACCGCCCCCTCTCAGGTTCCAGGTGCTGTCAGGTGAGCATCGCAGGTGGGCGGGAGGGAACACCTAGGTGGTGGTAGGGGAGTGGCTGCCAAGCTGGTGACCCAGTACAGCTGCCTACAGGACCGCAGGAAGACCCATTACAAAGGTGAGTTAGAGCAAAGATTAGAGGCAGCTGGAGGGGCATCGTCAGAGAGAAGGGCTTTCCAGGCAGAGGGAGCCGTTAGTGTGAGGACTCCGTGGCTTGAGAAGCAAGGAGGGAGAGGAGATTATGCTATGAAAGCAGCACCAGCCTTCTTGTACGAGGAATGTTTCAAATCCCTGTGCCCTTGCAGATCCGTCGCATTGCATCTGGTTAGCAACGCACAGCTCCTGGTCTACCCAGCTCCTGGTCGTCTAGATCCCTCCGGGGGGGGGGGGGGGGGCGGTGCTCATGAGAAGGCTGGCTCCAAAGGACGCCCCTGCCTTGCACGCCTCTGTGCCCTTCCAGCATCCCAAGCGTCTCGATGGGCGCTTGCGCGAGGGCACCCTCTGGTGGCAGAAAAATAAAATAAAATAAAACGTACATTTCCAGGATAACCAGGACTCATTTTGACCACACAAGTAACTGCAGTTTTAACCCAGTAGGCTTGGTCTTTTTCAAAAATGGCCATGCTGGGAAAAAAATTTTAATGGGAGGAGGGGTGGGGGCGCTGAAAAAACGTTGTAGAGAAGAAGAAAAACCCAAAGAGGTAGGACCAGGAAAGGGCCCCCGCGCTGGAGCTCAGCGCTACAGCCCTGGCCGCGCCATGGAGTCCCTGCGGAGCCTGAGCCTGCGCCCGCCCCAGGTGCTCGCTACACTGGCAGGGGGAGTCCCAGGAGTGCAGCAGCCGCACAGGTGCCAAGAAACAGCAAGCCCAGCCCGGTCGCTCTCAACTCCAGTTCCCCAAGAACAGAAGAAATGTTGGAGTTTGAGGTTCTTCAAAGCCACAAAGTTCACCCGGAAGGACCTCCAATCTATGGTCCCGGTGGCCAGGTGAGCGAGTCCCAGGCGAGGAACCCAGGAATGTGGGCTTTGCACTTGGGGGTTCCCAGCCCAGGCGGCTGCATGTTACTAATGGCAACGTGCGGCCAGCCAGTTCACACTCAGCTGATTACAGGAGGACCTGCCAGCCAGGGGTCAGGACAAGAACCCAGGGCAATGCTGTTCCAAGGAGGCAGTGCTGGAGAGGAGCTAGAACCGACGTTGACACTGACCTTGGGAGAGACAGCTGCTGGCTGGTTTCCCTCTGACCCTAAAGGAAGACAAGAGTGTGAGGCTAGGGCTGCTCTAAGTGGGATGGTGTGGAGGATAAGACGTGCAGCCCCAGGGATGTATGCCAGTTTGCCTGGGACTAAGTGAGGGCCCCAGGGTGCAGCACTGGGAGTTTGCAAACCAGGTCCCCCTGCAAAATGGAAGGTGTTGGCCCCCTGTGACACACAGTCCTGGTATCCAGTCTCAGGAGAGGGGAGGCCCCTCAGTACAGGTGGTTCTCCATCCAGGAGACCATCAGAGGCACGCTGGGGACTTGAATATGCTGATGGCCAGACCTCATCATGGGTAAAATGTAATGGCTGAGGCTTGGGCATAAGACCCCCACCAAACCAGCCAGGTGATCCAACTACAGCCGGGGTCGTGGACCTCCCACTGCCTTCTGAGAAGAGACAAAGGGTGCCGTGTGGGTCTGACAACATCACCATTAGCTAAGGGTCTGGCGACTGCCACGTGGGGCAGACTTGTGCTGGGGGTGGGGTGGGGTGTGGGGACAAGGCTGGCCCAGGACTCAGGGTACCCAGGTCTTTGGAGGGGCATGAGCCTGAACTGTAGGCCCGGGGGCTGAAATGGCCTGATGTCCCAGCACAGGACAGCAGGGAGCACAGCTGTGTGTTCCGAGGAAGACCTTGCAACAGCCTTGTCCACTGTGTTCATTCTCATGGAATCGCCGAGGGATCCCAGCTGCTTCACTGCATGATAAGTTTTTTTAATGTACTTATTTATGTATTTGAAAGTCGTAGACAGGAGAGACTGATTTTCCATCCTCTGCCTCACTCCCCAAATGGCCACAAGGCCAAGGGCTGGGCCACACAAAACCAGGCTTAATTTAGGAGTTTCATTTAAATCTCTCACATGGGCCATTTTCCACTGCTTTTAATGAACATTAGCACAGGGCTAGATGGGAAGTGGAGATGCCAGGACTTGAACTAGCACCCTTAGCTCTGCTGCTACAGCACTGCCCCAGTCCCATGATGATGGATTCACCATAAACCACTATCTTTTAACTTGAACCTTGCACTTCCCAACTCTGCGCCCTGTGGGACAGGATGTGGGTGAGGGGAAGCAGGTGGGTGAGGGGGAGCAGGTGGGTGAGGTGATGTCAAGTCCCAGCGGTACTTGGTTTCCTCACACTCAGGCCCTGACGGTGCCACGAACTCCACTGACAAGTTTCGTGTTGCTCTCGCTTCCTCATTTTTGTATTATTTTAAATCACAAACGCAGTGCATGCTTGTGGTCCGAAGCATCGAGAACAATGCGCTGCACTGCTCCCCCTGCCGGCCGAATCCAGCATTACAGTTTTAGTCGAATTTCTGGTGGCCAGGTTCACGAGGGTGGGCACTGTGTGTCGTTTGCCTTTTACGCGACAATGCCTGGCCTGTAGCCGGTGCTCATAACCCATTGGGTGAAGAAGCGATTTCCTTTCATGTTCATGGGATCCTTTTCTGCATGCTTTGTCCCTTCTAAATTTATTTATTGCCTCTGCTTAGCACCAGATGCTAACCTGTATTTGCAAAGATCATAGCTATTTTGTTTGTTTCTCCCATTAATTTTAGTTGGCTGGTATCTCATAGGATGATGGACCTTCATTGATTTAAGATTTTTTTTAAAATTTTAATTTGCATTGGGAAGGCAGATTTATATAGAGAGAAAGATCTTCCATCCACTGGTTCACTCCTCAAATGGCTACAACAGCTGAGCTGAAGCCGATCTGAAGCCAGGAGCCATGTGGGATGCTGTGGCCCAAGGACTTGGACCATCCTCCATTGCTTTCCCAGGCTACAAGCTGGGAGCTGGAAGGCAAGTGGAGCAGCTGGGATACACACTGGCCCCCACATGGGGTGTTGGTGCTACAAGGTGAAGGATTGGTCTGTTGAGCCACCTTTTTGGCCCCAACCTTCATTTATGTCACAAGTTGCCTGTTAATTTTTTTTTTTTTAAAGAAAGACATTGCAGATACACAGAATGTGGGGGTTGGGAATCCTTGCAAAAAGGGTGAACACAGCCTTGCTGGCCAGAGAAGGGTGGAGACGGAAAAGGGTGCGACAAAATGATACCACTCAACACTGAGCTTTGGCTGGCGGGCAGCCAGACCCCCTGTCTGCTGCAGCAGGGGCGGCCCTGCGGCCTGTGGGACCCGCCCTTAGCTGAGCGTTGGTGGACAGGAAAACACACAGGCTTGCCCTCCCGCACAGCGAGACAGTGCAGGCCTCCTGGAAGACCCGCAGCCCAATTACCCAGGCTGTATTGCAAGTCTCAGTCTCTGCAAAAAGCAAATGATGAGGCTGTGCGTTCCCGGGTTTGATTAAGCAGCAATTAGCCCTCAAAAGCTTGCTAAATGGCCCCTCTTTAAGCATCACGCAGCCCGGTAATTTCCCTTTCATGCTTTGCAGCGGCTACTCCCAAATTCCTTTTTGTCCAAAGCAGCTGTAATTGAGGGGGTGGGAGGGAGCTAATGAAACCAGCCACAGCAGAAACCGCCAGAGGAGGCTGATGTTCTCACAGAGCCAGGGTCCCCTCCTGCCCTGCGCCTGCAGGATTCCACTTGTAGAAGTCGAAGGTGTCCCACAGACCCCAAGATGCACAGTAATGGAGAAGGACATTGGTGAGAACTTTGCTTATGGTACAGAGAGGGTGGGAACCACCTAAGGGAGGACCCCAAAGGGAGGACAAGTCGTGCAATCAGCTGGAAGTTCACCACACACACACACACACACACACACACATGCAAAGTAGCCAGGTAGCCTGGCTACAGTTTGAGCACCTCTCTTGTTTTCATTTTATTTGAATCTCCAGGGAGACTTCCATCCACTGCGTTACTCTGCAAATGCTTCCAACAGCCATAGGTTCGGTCATGCGAACGTCAAGAGCTAGAAACCCAATCTGGGTCTCCCACGTGGATGGCAGAAAAAACCTTGACTCAAGCCACCACCTGCTGCTTCTCAGGGTGAACAGGAAGCGAGGGAGCGAGGGTGGCACCCAAACCCGGAGTGTCAAGAGCAGGGTCTCAAACGCTGTGCCCAATGTCCCCGAACTCCTGTTTGTAACAAGCTCACCATGCGTGCAGGAATCTAAGCCCTGGGCCAGCTTACTGTGCTTATCCAGGCCACAAACAGGGAGCTGGGTTGGAAGTGGAACAGCTGGGGCTCATATGGGATGCCGGAGCTGCAGGTGGAAGCTTTGTCTACTGCATCATAACACTGACCCCAATTTACAGAATTTTGCAAATCGCTGTAGGAAGGTGGGATGGAGTGCTGCAAGATGTGTCACAGAACAGTCAGGCCCATGAAATCCTTCTCAGTAGAGGACAATCACATGAGGCACCCAGGATATGCACAACTGAGTCCCCGGACCAAGATGGGGTCTCACGTTGGTCCGGGTCTTTACTGAAGTTGCTTCCTTTGATTTTCAGGGTATTTTTGTTTTCCGATCTAAAAGTAGTTGCTTGATCTACCACAAGGTGGCGCTAGTGGTCTTGGAAGCAGATAGCGCCGTAAGAAAACCAGCGTGTGGAAGATCTCTGTTTCTTCTGCTCTCTGTAAATCCGCCTTTCAAATAAAATAAAATCTTTCAGAAAAAAGTAAAATATTTGGTTTTTGTGGGCGCAAGCAAGCATGGAGTGGTTGAGATGTCTCTAGTGGAAAGTAAGGTGGGTGTTTGGCATGGTGACTGAGACCCTGTTTGGAATGCCCACGTCCTATGGCAGGGTGCCTGCCACGCCACTGCCCTAGCTCCACTTCCAATCCAGCTTTCTATGAGTATATAGCAGATGATGGATCAAGTACTTGGGTTCTTGCCACCCAGGTGGAAGACCAGATGGGTTCCTGGCTCCTGGCTTTGGCCCTGGCTGTGGTCGGCATTCCGAGAGTGAACTACATAATGGAAGATCTCTGTCTCTCTCTTCCCTTTAAAATCATAAAGCAGATGGAAGAGTTATGCCTCTTGATACTCTGCACTTGTCACACATATCCGTGTCCTTTACCCTACTCCCCGAGGCTGGCACCTGCTCCCCCACCCTCCCACATTCCTTTCCCAAGACGCCAAGGCCTCACCTGGCCAACTCTGCCACCTAAACAGCTGTTTCTGGGCCAGGCACACAGCTCTCTGTGCACCGACTCACCAGTGGCCCGAGGAGAGGCTGCAGACAGCACAGTGCCTCCCTAATCCAAAGAGAAAGCAAATTTAATCTGCTCCCCATCCCCCCAATGGTCTGATACAAGCATTTTCCTATCCTTCTAGAATCTTTGGAAAACAAAGCCAGGCCGAGAGAGGCCAGAGAGAGAAGGGCCATTCCTTTATTTACTTATTTTGGGAGAGGCCATTCCTAAGCCAATGGTGCCACTGTTTGGTTCATCATGTTGGAGATGAAACTCTTGGAGTCACCACTCCCACCGTTACCTGAAATGGGCCTTTGACTTGTCCCCAAGCCTCAGAAACTGTGCCCACAATGTGAATAGTGGAGCTGGATGGGGAGGCGCAGACCTTCCCAAATCTGTGACTCAGGGAGTTGAGCCCTGCACTAGCTGGTTCCCACATGTCCGGAGGCCCAGGGGAGTGACTGTTCCCCCCTGGCTGTCACCCCTTCATTATCAGGTATTTACAGAGGACCTGTGACACGCCTGCCTGGGGCAAGACGAGCTCCGATCCCATCATCCCTGGAACTCGTAGTCTGGGAAGATGCTGGGGTTCCCAGGAGAGGGGCAGAGGGCTGGAAGCCACCCTTGATCCACACTCCAGGGCCAAAGGAAATGACTGCCGGGTCATGCCCTTTATTTCATCTCTGAGGGAAGGAGCACTTAGCCTGCTTGCCCCCCAGGCTGAGAAAAGAAAAGAGGACCAGAGAAAGAGGTGGTTAGCAACCAAAAGGATGGGGCTGGGACCAGCACAATGGCTCAATTGGCTAATCTTACCCCTGCATGCGCCAGGATCCCATATAAGCACTGGTTTGTATCCCAGCTGCTCCAGTTCCCTTCCAGCTGCAGCCTTGTTGCCTGGAAAAGCAGTAAAGGATGGCCCAGAGTCTTGGGACCCTGCACCCATGTGGGAGACCCAAAAGAAGCTCCAGGTTGTTCCCTGGGGCACAAAAGCTAAGCAGGATTTTAGCAGACCCATGAATCCTATGGTTTTGTTTTGTTTTGTTTTGTTTTTTAAGATTTATTTATTTCTTTTGGAAAGCAAATTTACAAAGAGAAGGACAGACAGAAAGATCTCCCATCTGCTGGTTGACTCCCTAAATGAACACAAGGTACTTCTTCTGGGTCTCCCACGTGGGTACAGGGTCCTAAGGCTTTGGGCCATCCTCGACTGCTTTCCCAGGCCACATCAGGGAGCTGGATGGGAAGTGGAGCAGCCGGGACACAAAAAAAGGTGGCTATATGGAATGCCAGCATTGCAGGTGGAGTATTGACAGTCGAGACATCACACCAGCTCCCAGGCCCATGTAGCCAAGTTCCTGAAAAGGCCACTGCGGTATAGTTGTGGCTGCATGGGAACCATGAGTGACACCAGCCAGGCCGTGGGTTGTCACATCATTCAGAGCAACAGCGGGTGGGCCATCCCCGCAGAGCCCTTGGTAGGGGAGGGTCAGGCCTTTCAGTTGTGGGGGCTGAACTTGTCTCTGTCACTCTGATAGAACAGCGATCCCAGGGGTGGGCGGCAGGGAGGGGGACAGCATCGACTCCGTCCTTCCCTCTGCTCAGGCTCCGGTTTCCCTGCTGCAGCCATCTGTGCCAAAGGTGGAGGTTCGTGGGGACATGGGTGATCATTCGTGGGCCACCCTGGGTGGAAGCTTCCTTACCTGAATTTCCTGGCTCTGGTGGACATGTCAAAAAAAAAAAAAAAACCAACAACGGAATTATCACCAGCATAGTTTGAGATCAATCACCTTTTATTTGCAAATCAGGAAAGCTCTGACTGACTACCAACAGAGCAGTTGGTTACCCAAAGTGGGAGCAAGGAAATAGTAACGAAAAAGAAAAAGCCCCTCCAGATAATGTCTGATTACTTTCTCATAAGGGTTAAAGCCAAAGGAACGTCACTTCTATGTTGATTCGTGTGGACTGGACTCTGCAGTTCTGAGGGACAGCTGATCTGTTCTGAAATGCTCCTTTCCAGAAGTTTCACTGGGAGGCATTTAGCCCCAGTGACTCCGATTTGGTTTGCTTCAGTGCGGTCTGTGGGAGCCCAAAGCAGCAGCTTCCCACGTCATTTGCCTACAAGTGCTTTTGAAGAGGGCTGAGTAAAGGCCGACTGTGACACAGACCAGAAAGTGGCCTCTGGAACTGGACAGAGAGGAGGTCATTAGTGATATGAGAAGTTGAGGTTCAGGGCATGATGGAGGGAGAAGCCACTCTGGAGCAGCTTAGAGAGGATGTGCAGGCCTCTTGGGAGAAGTTTGCTGGGCAGGCATGGCAGCAGCACGAGGAAGGCGCAGTGGGGCAAGCGGGAGAGCAGCTCTCAGAAGGGAGGTGTTGGCACAGGTGCAAGTGACCCAGGAGACAGGAAGATGCAGACAGAGCAGGCAGAAGTGGGGGGCGGGGGGCCTGCAGAGATGAATTTTCAGGAAGTCTGAGGGCTTAGATCTCAGATAGGATGGAGGCTGGAGAAGACGGTGGAGAAGCTGCTGTCTGGCTGGGCCCACATCCCAGGGAGCAGAGGGCTAGGTCATCAGGTGAGTGGGGGGAGAAGCTGGGCACCTCTGGGGAAAGCAGTGGTCTCACTCAGACCGTTTGAGCCAGATGCGCTGGCTGGGGTCTAGTGTCCTGCTGAGGTTTGTCATGAATAAAGTGGGACTGTTGGGACAGGAGTCTGGCAGAGCAGTGAAGATGCTGGTTGGAACACCTGTATCCTATACTGGAGTGCCTGCTCAGGACCCTGGTCCCTGAACAGGAACGGAGGACAACTCATCATTCTTGATTCGGCAAGTGGATGAGCAGGTGACAGCAAGCTCTGCTCGAGGCTTTATAACTCAAAAAGGTAACTGACATGCAAGAGGCAAGACCAAGGCAGTACTCGTGGAGTCAGGAGGGTAAGGGGAAGCCCCGGGTTTCCTGGGTTCTGTGTCATGAGCTGTGTCATGAGCTGGGCCTGGACTGGGTGACATTCACATCAGAAGGGCCTCGGCATTGCCCTGGACGCTGCAAACCCCGCATCCTGCTGCATCTGCAGCTCCTTGCAGAATCACAAGGTTGCTGTGGGTCGCATCCCACCTTCCACCCCAGAAACAGGGTGCATTCTACAAGGTGGAACACAGAGCTTCATAGCTTTAGGGAGCGAGGCCTTACTGATGATGATGATGGTGGTGGTGGTGGTGATAATGGTGACGATGATGATTTGGTAATGACTTACAGTCGCAAAGGGCCATGTGACCTTATATATAATGACTTTAATGGGTTGTGCCATGATGGCTCAGTGTCATGGGAGGCCAGGTGAGTGTAGGAGGGTGGGGTGGGTGACAGGAAACAGAGGCAGTTCAGCTCCAAACAGGAAGTTGGGTTTTGTCTTGTGACTTTACTGCGTTTCAGTTTCCTTCTTATTTGTATATTTTTAATGGGATTGACAGAGATCAGCTCTGTGCTGCAGCTGGCCACAGGTGCTGCTAATAAAAGCAACCGTGGAGGGCCTGGCGCGAGAGCGTAGCGATCCAAGTTCTTGCCTTGCACATGCCAGGATCCCATTTGGGCGTCGGTTCTAATCCCAGTGGCTCCACTTCCCATCCAGCTCCCTGCTTGTGGCCTGGGAAAGGCCCAAAGGATGGGACCCGACACGCATGTGGGAAACCTGGGAGAGGCTCCTGGCTTCAGATTGGCTCAGCTCCGGCCTTTGTGGCCACTTGGGGAGTGAATCATCAGATGGAAGATCTTCCTCTCTGTCTCTCCTCCTCACTGTATATCTGACTTTGCAATAAAAATAAATCTTTAAAAAAAAAAAAGTAAGCTTGGTGCCTCTGAGGCAAACAAGGGGCTTGTTCTCTGATGGCCAGGCTGTAGGGCAGGCTGAGCTGCTTCAGGAGGCTGGCACTGGGAAGCTGCTCCCATGGGTGCCCGCATCTCATTTTCAGGGTGTGGTTTGCACACTGGCTCTTTTGCCTCTGAATCAGTTTCCTTCCAAATGCATCCTGGGAGTCAGCGCATGATGGCTCAGTAATGGAGTTCCTGCTCCCCCCGTGGGAGACCAGGATGGAGTTTTAGGCTCCTGGCTTTGACCTAGATCTGCCCTGGCTGTTGTGGGCATTTGGAGTATGAACCAGCAGATGGAAGATATCTTGCCTGTTCTCTCTCTCTGTAACTCTGCCTTTTAAATAAGTAAATCAATATTTTTAAAAAATATATATATATATATATATTTTTTCATTTGAAGCAGAGTGACAGAGAGGAGAGACAGAGATCTTATGTCCCCTGGTCCACTCCCTCAAATGGCCACAATGGTTGGAGCTGAGCCAATCTGAAGCCAGAAGCCAGGTACTTCTTTCCTGTCTCATAGTGGACCTTCTGCTGCTGCTTTCCCAGGCCATAAGCAGGGAACTGGATCAGAACTGGATCAGCCAGGATACGGATATGGGATGCCGATGCTACAAGTAAATGCCCAGCCTACCATACTACAGTGTCAGCCACGAAGTAAATAAATCTTTAAAAGCAAAGAAGGCAGCCCCGACCAATGGCTCAATTGGCTATCCTCCCCTTACAGGCACCAGGATCCCATGTGGGCATTAATTCATGTCCTGGCTGCTCCACTTCCCATCCAGCTCCCTGACTATGGCCTTGGAAAGCAGCAAAGGACGGCCCAAAGCCTTGGGACCCTGCACCCATGTGGGAGACCCAGAAGAAGCTCCGGGCTCCTGGATTTAGATTAGCTCAGCTCCTGTCATTATAGCCATTTTGGGAGTGAACCAGCAGATGAAAGATTTTTCTGTCTCTCCTTCTCTCTGTAAATCTGCCTTACCAGTGAAAATAAATAAATATTTTAAAAATATTTAAAACAGTAAATAAATATTAATATTAAAATATTAAACTGTTTATTTACTAACATTTTATTTATTTTTATTGGAAAGGCAGATATACAGAGAGAAGAGATAGAGAAGTAGCTTCTCTGTTCACTAATTCACTCCCCACATGGCTGCCTTAGCAGGGCTGAGCTGATCTGAAGCCAGGACCCAGGAGCTTCTTCCTGATCTCCCACCTGGATGCAGGGTCCCAAGACTTTTGGCCATGCTTGACTACTTTCCCAGTCCATAAGCAGGGAGCTGGGTGGGAAGTGGGCCGCCGGAACACAAACCCACATGGGATCCCAGTACATTCAAGGCAAGGACTTTAGCCACTGGGCTACTGCTTTGGACCCCCAAATTATGTATTTATTTGAAAGGCAGAGTTACAGAGACAGAAGAAAAGACAGAGAGAGAACCCACATTTGTGCATTTGTTAATTTACTCCCCAGATGGACTGAAACAAAGCCAAGAGTCAGAAGTTTCTTTCAGATCTCCCATATAAGTGCAGGGGTCAAGGATGTGGGCCACCCTTCACTGTTTTTCCCAAGTTCATTAGCAGGAATTGGAAGTGCAGCAGCTGGGACACAAACCAGCCCCAAATGGGATGTCGGCATGGCAGGCAGCTCCGAGAGAACTCTCATCTTCTAAGCAAAAGACAATTGGATTTGGCCTTGAGGAAAAGTAGCAGGCAGATGTGGCCCGCATTTGTTCCTCTCTCTGCTGCATGTCCCAGGGACCTATGGGGGAATATTTCCATGCCCTCTGGTGGAACTGGGGGCAGAGGCTGCCTGGGAGAAAGAGGGCTTCCACCACTCCCTTCCTAGCAAGTTGCACAGCCCTTGATGAAAAGCACCAGAGGAGACCAGGCACCTGCAGTGTATGAATGCCCCTGCAATAAAGAAGGCGGAGGTACAGCATGAGGGACAGAGGCACAGGACAGAGACTGGAATCACCTCCAAGAATGTAAGACCCCGTGGAGTGTGGGCAGGAAGGTAGGAGGCCAAACGGAAACCCACAAACATGAGGCCGTGGGCCTGGCCACCCCAAGTATACAGGAAGCAGCAATCTGCAAGGGCCGGCCGTTGACTCACCAGACATTTCTCAAGCAGCATGTACACGCCAGGAGCTAGCTGGCATCGTGGTTCAGTACTGGTACTGCTTTACAAGGCATCGCCCCGGCACCCAGAGGCTTAACACAACAGCAACTTCATCACCACTCACCTTGCTCTGGGTTGATGGAAGCCCACTCCCCACGGAGGTGGCAGTTGCTGCTGGCTGGGAGAGGGTGGCGACTTTCCCTGGCGGTGCCTCTGTTGCACCCCTTGTGGCTTCCCCATGTGGCTTCAGCTTTCTGGTGTGGTGGCTAGGTTCCAAGTGTCTCGAAGTACAAGCATCAGGCCTCTGAAGGCCCAGGTTCACGAGTCTCAGATGTCACTCGCGTTGTATTCCATCCATCCAAGCCAGTCCAAGGCTGTATTTGTTACCTACAACCACATAAGAATAAACCCCAGGGTCTGGCATTGTGACATAGCAGGTAAAACTGCTGCTGCAGTGACACCTGCATCCCATATGGGCACTAGTTCATGTGCTGGCTGCTCCACTTCCTATCCAGCTTCCTGTTAATGGCCTAAGCAGTCCTAAGTGTGGGCCAGTCAGTCATGTGGGAGACCTGGATGAAACTCCTGGCTCCTGGCTTCTGTCCAGCCTGGCTCTGGCTATTGCAGCCATTTAGATAGTAACCTGGCAGAGGAAGGATATCTCTCTTTCTCTCTCTTTTTTCTGTAACTCTTTCAATAAATAAATTACTCTTTAGAAAAAAGTTAAAAGGGCCTAACCTAATGGCTCAGTGGCTGATTCCTCACACTGGGATCCCATATGGGCACTGCTTCATATCCCAATTGCTCCACTTCCCATCCAGCTCCCGACCTGTGGCCTGGGAAAATCCTCGAGAACAGCCTAAAGCCTTGGGACCCTGCACCTGTGTGGGAGACCTGGAAGAGGCTCCTGATTCCTGACTTTGGATTGACTCAGCTCTGGCCATTGTGGCCAGCTGGGGAAGAGAATTGGCAAATGGAGGATCTTTTTAAAATCTTTTTAAAAAATTAAAAACAAAGGAACCCACAAGCCTGGTAGGTGGCTGTCTGTCACTGTTCCTGTGGGTTACAGCCAGCTTTCTGGATCTTCTTGTGAGATTGCTGTGGACATATCCACCAGGGTTGCATTTATCTGAAGGCCTGAATGGGGCCGTGGAGTCTGTTGCCAAGGTACCCACCCCTGCCACTGTGCTTGGCTGGAGTCCTTAGTTCTTGAGCACATGAGCCTCTCCCGGCTAACTTGAGTGTCGTCAGGATGTGGCAGGGCAAGTGGCTTAAGCAGCCAAGGCTCAAGTCGGAATGCCCCTGGTGAGCTAGCCTCACGAGTCATACATTGCTAGCCCTACAGGCTCTTCCTTGTCTCACTGATCAGTCCTGATTCAGAGTGGTTAGAGCTTCAGATGGGACAGAGATAGCCCAGAGGTGAGGATCCCTGGCAACCACACAAAGCACTGGGTGTCCCGCCACACCGGCCCACAGATTCTAAAGGCTTGAGAAATGATCTCTGCTTGTGGCTGGGACGTTGTGGCTAGCTTTAAGCCACAGAGCTTGTCTGTGAGAGCTCAGCAGAGGCCGTCATCTAAAGAATGACACAGAAAATCCGCAACAGAGAAAGGTTGTGTCTGTATATCATTGATGTACCTGAACCACAGGAGAGGTGAATTCTGTGCCCAAAGTAAGTAGGAGAGCTGCGATCAACACTCAGTCCATTTTGACTTCAAGGTAAGAGTTTTTTGGCCTCCTGCTCTACTGGTCTATGTTGCACTTCTGTTTTAAACAGAGTACAAAGCAGGCATCTGGAACGGTGGTTACGATGCCTGTGCAATGCCCACATTTCATTTAGGAGTGCCCAGATTTGAGTCCTAGCACCACTTAGGTTTCCAGCTTCCTGCTATTATCCAGGAGGCTATTGCTGGGGGGCTCCAGTCCCTGACTTCCCATCATTTACATGGGAGACTCCAATTGAGTGTCTAGCTCCTGGCTTCTACCAGTCTCAGCTCTGACTGTTACAGGTTTTTGGGGAGCAAAGCAGTGGATAGCATATTCCTTTCTCTCCCTTTGTCTCTCTGTGCCTTTCAAGTAAATAAACAAAAATTTAAACATCGAGAATATGTATTATATAAAATCATATATAGTATAAAAACAATAGGGGATATGCCTTAGACAAGTTCAGATAAAAATAAAAAATGTTGACAGTTATTCATAGGTTAGAAGAAAATGTGTGATGATGCACGTGCTTGGCAAGGTAGTTAAGTAGCTGTTCTGGACACCTATGTTCTGTATCCGAGGGCCTGGTTCCCATCCAAGGCCCTTCGCTTCTGCACCAGCTTCCCACTAATGCACGCTCTGGGAGGCAGCCAGTGAGCTTCAGCATTTGTGTCTGCGCCACCCACATGGGAGACCTGGATCAAGTTCCAGGCTTTAGCCTGGCCAAGTCCTGGCTGTTCTGGGAATTTGAAAGTTCTTCTATGTCTTTACAATAAAATGAAAACAAGCATTAAAAAAAAAAAAAGTATTTTCTTCCTCTTTCCAAGTTTCCATATTTTAAAAAAAAAGTCCAAGGGATTCTCTAGCCAACCTGTTTAATAACTGAAAAACCAAAGCCATTTCCTACTGTCGTGGCTCCCCCAGGCCCAGCAGGACAGAGTGTTGCTGCCAAGTCAGAGAGCGGGTGGAGGCCTCCACCTGTGGATTTTGGCTCCTTCTCTTGTATGTGGTATGAAGGCAGGTGATTGTTAATCAGCTCACCTGTGCACAGAAGCTGCCTCCCCCAGCCCTACCCCACAGAGGTATTGGGGGAAGAAGGGCTCTGTTTCTGATCCCTGGGGTGGGTGGAGCAGTGGAAATTGTGGACTGCTGTTTTCTCTTTTGGATGGATGGACCTCAGTGTTTTCTGGTTCAAGATCAAAGTGACTCTCAAAGCCAAGTTTACGGGACCAATGAGAAAGCTTGAAAGCGCCGCTATCCTGAAAACTGCAAGGTGCATGGTCACTGTGGAGAGAAACGGGTTGTAGGAAACACAGCGAGTCTCTCCTGGCTTCCTGAAGCTGTGTGGTATCTTCTTTTCAGGACTATCTTTGAGTGTCAGGCAGTCTTCCCTCATGTCTTATATTTCACAGGCAGCAAGTTACCCTATGGTTCAAAAAACTCACAAACAAAACCACAACAACAACAACAAACACCAGTGTCGGTGAACTGGGAATCTGTTATGTAAAGATGCTATGCTAAGCATTTCACACTCACTTCATCTTTCCAAGGTGGCATAGGATGCAGACACCTGCAGTTCACAGGAGAGGAAGCAAGGACTCAGGGAAGCTCAGGCATTTCTCTGACATCACAAGGCTCATGGATGATAGCGGGAGACCATGAACCCAGGTTGAAATTGTCGTGTGGGAGCAGTGGGGTCTTCATTCTTATTCCAGCCCCTTGCCTTGTACCTAGAGAAGCATTCTAAGTTCAGGCATATCCACGGTGCACAAAGCGATGAAGTTTATTTAAGTGGGGACAAACACGTGGGCACATGCATCACACACACACACACAGGCACAGAGTGGAGTGGGCCAGAGAGGGAAAAGAATGGCAGGGAAATTGAGAGTACCTCAATATCGAATATCCTGTCCCATCCCCAGGGTAGGGTAGGGAGAAGAAGAAGGAGTCGCAGGCCTCATGGAAGACTGGAAGGGGAGTGGTTTTGTGGTCCTTCCTCCCAAGTCTCTGGGGAAGGGCAAAGGTAGCTGCATCCAGGAAAAGGCTATTTGACTGACAGGCAGATAGGTTTACACAGGGAGTGGTAGGTGTGACTTCCAGCTTATGACTCAAATCTAGCCATCTGCCTTACTCCATATCAAAATGACCCCAAAGCCGATAGGCTCTTTGTTTCCTTAAGAGGTGAGCAGAAAAGCAAGCTTTATTAAAAGGCAAGAGGAGGGCCCAAAGCCTTGGGACCCTGCACCCTCGTGGGAGACCTGGAAGAGGATCTGGGCTCCTGGCTTTGGATTGGTGCAGCACCGGTCATTACGCTCACTCGGGGAGTGAATCATTGGATGGAAAATCTTTCTCTGTCTCTCCTCCTCTCTTTATATCTGACTTTGCAATAAGAATAAATAAATCTTAAAAAAAAAAAGTCAAGAGTAGAGCACAGGCAATTTCAAGAGACAGAATTTCCCTCACTGAGCTGGGGTGTCCTTTTGTAATAGAGAGGAGAGCGGCTCAGAGTGGGGCTTACTTGAAGCTCCTGAGGAGGCAGGATTTGGGGTGGGGCCGCAGCACATGTGGTGGTGGAGCTTGATGGGAAGCAAGGCTTGGTTGATGAGCAGCAGTCGTGCCAGGTCTTCAGCCCTGGTGGGGATTTGGGAAGTGCTTCTGGCTGCCAGCTGTTTCATGGGTGCTGTGTCATATGCATCCATTCTGACTCTGGAAGACAGCTTTGCTTTGGCTCCAAAGGTGTGATAGCAAAAGGTTCCTTATTTTGAAAATAATTTCTATGTAGACATCTCCTCTTTGGTACTTCTGGAGCTCTGTCCAGTCCCTGCTGCAGTGGCCAGGACTGTGACTGAGCTACTAGATGCTGGCAGGTGTAGCGTGACTGTTTCTGAAGCTTCAAGCATGCAGCTGGGATCTCTACACTCCAGGATGGGGCAAGTATGTGTCCGACAGCAGGCCCAGAATACATGGAAACCCACTGTATGCCGAGCCAGTGCATCCTGGAAGCTGGGTTCAGGTCCGTGAGCAGAACTGGGCACCTGTCACCTTCCCTTTCCCCTCACCCCAAAGGTGGATCCTGATCAGTCTCTTGGAGGGCATCTCAGTTCCTGCAAGCGAAAGGCCCCAAGAACACATTCCCAAATTCCCACTACCTAGTCCCTGCTGCAGACCCTGAGCCTCAGTCTTGTGATGTATTCACACATGAACCTTTTCAACAAATTAAACAAGACCATTAATTTTCATTTTGTTTGAATGTTAGGTAGAGAAAGGGAGAGAGAAGGACAGAGGAAGCTCACCTATGCATCGGTTCAGTTCCTAAATGCCAGAAAATCCATCTGAGTCTCCCATGTGGCCGGCAGGGGTTGAACTTGAGCCATCACTTGCTGCCTCCCAGGGTGAGCATTAGAAGGAAGCTGGAATTGGAAGCAGAGCTGGAACTATATCCAGGACACTCTGATAGGGTTGCAGGTGTCCCAAATGGATTTTAACCAGTGTTAAAACATGCCTGTTCCCCACACAAAAACTTGGCTCAAGCTCTGCTCTCTGGGGATCCCTGGGCAGAACAGATTCAAACATTTTCTTTGCCTGAGCTCCCATCCCAATGTAACCATCTTTATCTTCTGAATCACACAGGTGCTGAGTAGCCACAGTGGCAAATAGCAGTAATTCCACTATTTCCATT